AAAAACTAACTATAACCAGGTAAGTGCTCAATAAATGCTATTAATTATACAAGTGATAGTAGAAGGACTTGAAATAAGGAGACTAGATTCTAGCTCCACACTAAGGAGGATACTGTATCCTGTATGTCATGGTTCAAAGACTTTTAAGCCTAATGAGTGACAAAACTGATAAAACTTTTAAAAGGTCATTCTGGGAGCAATGTTGGCAGATTGATGGTACTACAGCAGTGTAAAGGCTTATAAAGCAGTAAAACATGGGCGAGGGAGCTATCAGGATATGAATACAGGTAAAAACGAACTAGTTGTATGGTTCTGGATAAGCTATTTAATTGCTTTGTGCCTCAATCTCTTCATCTATAACGAAGACGTTCTTTTGTTCTCACCACATAACATTGCTGTGAGAATTAAAGGAGTTAACGTAAGGCACTCAGAATAGTTCCTGGCACAAAGTAAATGTTCAATAAATAAGATATTAACTGCATGAGAGAAAAACTGGAAGTAGGCAGACTAACTAGGAGATTAGGAAAGAGTTCTGAAAAAAATGAGGTGACAGCAGAGAGGGGGTATGCACAGTTGGGTGCCTGGGATGACGACAGCACCATTAGACAAGAGGTGGGATAAGAAAAGGAAGAGGAAAATGAAGCAAATGAGTGTAGCTCTGGGCATGTTAGGGCTGAGGTTCCTATAGAATGTGAAAATATAAATGTATACTGGTCAGGAGGAAATAAAAGTCAGAAGGCCAAAGGAGAGATAAGAGTTAGTGACAGAGATTTGAAGGGTGTTTTGGTCAAAGGTGGTAACAGGAGAGAACTCAGGGAGAAAGAAAACTGTAGAAGAGGGGCCTCCCTGGTGGCACAAGAGGTTGGGACGTGACCAATGAAGCAATCCGCAACCTCTGCAGCACGAGTTCAATCCCCAGCCGGCCAGTTGCTCCCCAGGGAGCAACCCACATGGCGCAAAAGACCTCTCCTGTTTCGCCAGCTGCTCCCCTCAGTAGTGTATTTCAATCGGTCTGCCTGTTCTGTTCCCTGCTCTGTCTCTCGTGAATCCTCTCATCCCCCACACCTCTGGCCTATACCCCAGCTCTTGCATGCATAGATAAATAAATCTTTAAAAAAAAAAGAAAGAAAACTGTACGAATACTTGACCCACGGGCCCTTGGCTGCAGACCACATTAGGATGCACAGGAACTCCAACATTACCAAGAACTGTGGATAAGTTAATTAGAAAGAGAAAATGTAACTGTATGAAATAAATCCTCTCTTCAAGAAGTTTTTGATGCCATTAGGAAGTGAAGACATACACATGATAATTTCTATCATAATTTTTTAGGAATAATCAAAATAACTCTAAAAGCGAAGGATGCAGACATTAGAAATGAAAGAGAGAAGGAAATTATGCTTAATATTGGAAAAGCTAGTGCCATAGAGGAGAAAGTTAACTCTGAGTAGAAGTAAAGGGGAAAATGAAAACTATTCTTTGTTGAATGTCTATTATATGCCAGTAAGTTTTCCAGGATCTTTCAAGTATATAACCTTAATTTAATTCTCCCTATATTCCTACAAGACAAATATTACCCTCATTTTACGAAAGTAGTCTGAGGCACATCAAAGTTAAATAACTTGTCCAAAGTCCTGTATCGAGTTCCCTAATAGGGCAGTCTTAGGGCTGGAACCTCAGGAGAAAGCCCAAAGCCCATGATTTCGCCACCATTCTTGCACTTGTTGCACTGGCCAAAGTAAAGCATGTCAAAAGGGGAATAAAATAAAACAATAAAAACTAGGCTAGAAGGAAACCAGAATGAAAAAAAAAAAAAAACCAACTTCTAAAAATAAATGCTCACTGTAATTTATAATGCCACTTTTCTCAATTCAAAATAAACGAAATTTCATACACCAGTTAAAGAGCAACATTGACACCTTGTGGTGAACATCCTAAATTAAAGTTTCAGGCCTCCCCAGTGGCACAGGGGATTGAGCACAGCGCTGTGAAGCTGTCCCCAGCCTCTGCAGCGCGGGTTAGATCCCCACAGGCCAGGGAGGTGACTCACAGGGAGCAGCAGACCTCTCCTGTCTCACCCGCTGTTCCCCTCAGCAGTGTATTTCAGTAGATTCGACTACACTGCTCCCCACTCTGTCTCTGGTGAGTCCTCTCACCTCCCCCACACCTCTGGCCTGTACCCCTGTTCTTGTATAAAAATAAATAAAATTTTTTTTAAAAAATAATAAAGTATCCAATGTAGCAAAGATTATAGTGACTACTAATTGTCTGTCTACCTGAAAACTAACACTTAAAAGAGGGATTTCCAGGGTTAAGAAGCAAAAATTCACTTAACATCACACAGACTGCATGTAAATTTGGAATGCTACCATAACTTTGGCAATACTAAAACTACGGGCAAAAGAAGCTGAATAAAACCTCCTACAAAACAGTACAAGACATTCATCTGAAGGAGCTTTAGTGTCCAGGTTTAGGTGCTCCACAATACTTGCTTTCTTCAAGAGTTCCTATTTTTCTGTGACATTCACACAAGAAGGCAGAAGGAATGCATGAATACTAGCAGCACAAGGCAATTAAAGTTATTAACTTGAATACAGACATCAGAATAACAGAATCAGAAGACCTGGATTCTAATCCTGACTACCATGAGCACAGAAAACTGTGTAGAGTTCAGGTGATATTAAACTCTGTGTTTTCACATAAACTTACAGCTCAATAAGTAACAATTCATAAACCAAGAAAAAGCATCTGGAGAAAGAAAAGATAGCACCCCTTCCCAGAAAAATGTTGCCTGAGTTAAAGAGGTAAACTATAAACAAAATTGATAGGCACAAAATTAATTTTCCCAGTAAGCACTTCTCACGTATCACCAAAACTGTGGGAAGAGGAGCATTAAATGACCGAGCAGATAATGGTGACTCTACCATCGTCTAAGAGAATTATGAGGAAGTTCCACTTTACTCATTAACTTTGACAGATATGATGTAAACTTTCTGGTCCCAGTATAACTCTAGATTTAGATAGTTTGGTTGATAAAAACAGACAGTTGATCAAGTTCAGTTTTATCCACTCTGAATTACTTCCACAGTGATCATGAGAAGATCGCTGCTAATAATAAGGCAAACTTAGATTGCCACCACCTTAGTTTGCTGACACATCCTAGAAACGAAACTCCCAAAAATCATTTCATTACAAGGTCCATGTTAAATAACTGATGATTTTGCATTAATGGAGCACTCTATGATTTTCAGAAAATTTTCTTTTTTATTAAGCTATATGTACCACATAACCACCAGTCTTGGAAGATAAGTGAGACTGAAAAGAATCTCCAAACCTTACTTCATACCAGCCTCCTGTCTGGTTCTTACTTCTTTGTGTCCCCAGATAAATAAATTATTTAACATTTTTTGGCTTCAGCCCTTACATTGAACACAAAGGCCGATGCCTAATGTGTGAACACAGAAAAGTTTCTAAGAGGATAATATGTGAAACTGCTGTAAGTTACACAACTTGTAATCATTGCTTCCACCTTTCAAAATAATCAGAGGATACATGAATTAGGTTCATTGGCTAAATGAGGATCTGGTTAATCAGCATTCTCTAATACACCATGTTGTTTGCCAGGACCCAAAAGTCTTTCCTCAGTTCCTATTCTCTTGTACCACACAGAGCTGGCAATACTCCTCAGTCTCTATTCTCTTAGCTTTTATGAGGCTATCTATCCCAAAGCTTCCTCATCACACTGGCTTTGTATTCCTTTTTTCCTTTAATTCTACATATTTCTCTAACAAGATCACACAATCAAAATTATTTTTAAAATAGCATCTATACTCTCAACTTGACTTAGGTCAAGAAATATTCTTAGCTTACTCACATTTCAGACTATGTCTGTACACTCCTATTTTCAATAATCAAAGTTCAATGTAGTTCCAAACTGAATTGGCTCAAAAATATGGGTTATATGTTTTGACTTTCCTGCTTTTTATCTCCACCATCCAATTCTAAATCCTGTCCATTCTTTCACATATCCTAAGAAGTCACAGTGAAAGCATCTTGCAGATAAGAATCAAATGTGCATGGTTACTTTAGTCAAGATCAGTGTCTTTTAAAGGCAATTTACACAGTCCATGTACCAAGCTCCCTACCATCATGTATAATAAGGTTCAACATTTGCAAAGGAAAGGCCCATTTCAAAATGTTTATAAAATAAACAATTAACCAATTGGACAAGCATCCCATCATCCTTCTGGACTCTTCCTCTAGTAGATACATAGAGGATGTCTAGTGGCCCAAAATTTATGATGTGTTATGTAAACATTAGGAAAATACTGCCAAAATCAAATTTCAATGAACCATTTGTCTGAGTAGGGTGAACATAGGTTGAGTGTCACAGTTATTTTGAATTGCATTTATTTTGGTAGCCTTCCCCCTGGGAAAATGTCCTTGATGATCTACCACATTAAAAATTAAAACCAAATTTAAAATCCTTACAAAATTAAGTCCAGACGTTATGAAAATATAGAGCTGAGGCAGTTAAGCAACTGAGCATGAGATATGTGAAAAGCTCCTTTGCCTTGCCAAACATGATTCTTTTAAGAACAACAGTAGGTTAGACCTCTAAGTCATGTCTGGGGCTATTGGAGGACTTTTCTGGTAAAGCTATATATAATTGTTAAGATTTTGTTAAGTCTAAATTTTGTACCTCCAGTTGCTGCTCCTTATAACACAGAAGCGCAGGAACAGATCATGACCCCACTTTAAGATCACTGGCTTCCAATCATTCTCCCCCACCGTCCAGAGAAAAGAAAGGGCTTTGCAGAGGCTTTATGAAAGAGATAAACTTAAAGCACTGTAGCTACAAAATTTATGAAGCTCTCACTAAAAAATGTGAAGCCTGAATAACAACGTCTAAACCTCCCATACATTTCTTCACAGTGAAATGTCACAAACTCAAAAAAAATAAGATTCTTAATGCAGGAGGGCTCTAAGTAGTGTCTTACCGCAGCAAACAGAAGACATCGTAAGAATTGCGAACACAGTTCTGATCCACCTGAAGAATAGTCTTCTGCGCATTTGAAGAACCCTGAAAGAAAGTTATCAACAAATTAATCAAAGCAGAACAAAATATATGCACAAATCAATCATATTTATCTTTTTTAAATTATGATTTATAACACCTCAGTAAACGCAAATCACTAAGAAATTCTTAAAAATTAAGCACATCTTCCAATAACTGAAGTTCAATCTTTGAGGTAAATGAATTTAATTTCTTCTAATATTTTCCCACAGAAACATTTCACATTATAAATTACAGTAAACTTCCCAGGGAAATCCCAGAGAGACTTTTTAATATATTATGTGACTGAAAAAGAGTATTAGCAATAATGTGTGTGTGTGTGTGTGTGTGTGTGTGTGTGTATACACCTAGCCATTAAATGCAGTCTTTAACGGGGAAAAAGGTATTCCAGGTTATCATTAGAAATCCCAAAAACAAACAGTTACACTCAGTGTACAAGGATAGTTTCTAGAGAGAACACAGCAGAATTCCATAAGAAAAGCAGAACAGATATCTGTCATTTAAGAAAGGTAAATAGTGGTTAAGCAAAGAGGACTGTGGACCTAGACCACCAGATTACAGAGTAAGCTCTTAATATGCCAGTTCTGTAATCTTGAGCAAAGCCCTAAACCTCTCAGTTTAACCTTGGTTTCTTCACCTATAATATGAAAGTGGTATTATCAAACTCAATATTGTCACGGAAATTAAAAGCATTAAAATTTGTAAAGTGAAAGAAAGGTATGTGATAAGCACAACATAAATGTTTGCCATAATGCTAATTTAAGTACCTTTTACAAGTTATGTCACTAGAGACATCAAAAGATTGGTTATTAGGAGAATATTATAAACAACTTTATGCTAACAAATTTGATAACTCAGATAAATTCTACAAATTCCCTGGGGAAAAAAACAATAAAAAAAAAAACTTTAAAAAATAAAAAAAATACAATATGCCAAAATTGACAATGAAACAATATCTGGGAAACTGCTATTTTTTAAGTGAATAAGTAATTGAAATCTTCCCCTATCCCCCCAAAAAGAAGTCTAGGTCACGATTTCACTGATGGATTTTATTAAATATTCAAAATATAATGCCAATTTAACACAACTCCTTCATAAAACAGAGACGGGGACAACATTCATATCACCAAACTAGCATTACTAATACTAAAACTTGACAAAGACATCACATTCACAAATAGGAAATTATAAAAATCCCTCAAATACAGAGACACAAAAATCCTTAGAAAAATACTAGCAAATTTAAGCAGCAATGTATTACAAGGATAAAACAATATCGTTATTGACTCAATTCTGAGTACACATTTAAAAATCAATCACACAAATACATGATGCAATCATAAATCTGTCTCAAAAGGGCATACAATTTTAAAGATATAATGTGTAACAATTATAACATAAGGATGGGAGATCAAAGTTATACAGAAGTAACATTTTTGTATAGTATTTAAACTAAGTTTGTGATTTAAACTAATCAGACTATTATAAAGATGTCAATTTTAATCTCCAGGGCAATCACTAAGAGAATTACTAAAAGATATATAGTAAAAAAATGAGAAAGGAATAAAATTTACATGAGAAAATATATAACACAAAAGAAGGCAGTGATGGAGTAATGAGAAACAAAAAAAGAAAACAAATAGAAAAATGGCAAAAATCCTTTTAAACCTGTAATTAATTCCATTAAAGTGTACACAGATTAAATATTCCAATTAAAAGGCAGAGATTTGCAAAATAGACACTGTAAAGATGATCCACTGTATGCCATCTACAAGGGTGCACTTTAGAACAAAAAATAAAAAAAGCAAATAGTATGAAAAATAAAGACTGAAAAGATAGTCCATGGAAACATGAACCAAAATAGAACTGGAGAGGCTACACTAATATCAGACAAATAGATGTGAAGACAAAAAAGAACATTATATAATGAAAAACTGGTCAAGAAGTTTATAGACAATTATAAACATGCACACATGTATCAGCATATAAAAAAAATATATGAAGCAAAACCAACAAAACTAAAGCGGAAAATAGCTGCAGACATCGACATCTTCACAATGGATAACACAACTACAAAAAAGGTGAACAAGGAAATAGAAGACACATAAACAATACTTATAAATCAATGAGACACATAAGTGTACAGAATGTCCCATCCAATAACAGCCATATACACATTGTTCTCAAGTGCACATGGAGCATTTCTCAGAACAGACCATATGTTCAGCCACAACACAGGTCTCAGTGAATTTTTAAAAACTGAAATCATATGAAGTATCTTCTCTGACCACAATGGAATGGAACTAAAAATCAATAACAGAAGTATATGTAAAATTCACAAACTACAAAGTAAATGATCTTAAACAACCAGAGATGAATTATTAAATATTTTGAGATGAATAAAAATTAAAATACAACATGTCAAAACACAGGATGCAGTAGGAAAAGTGCTAAAAAGATTTGTAGCTGTAAACATCTATTTCAAGAAGAAAATGTCCAAATTAATAACCTAACCTTTCACCTTAAAAATCTAGGACAAGAAACAAGACAAAACACTAAACCCAAGGCAAAGAAAGAAAGACTACAGATCCATGAAATAGGGAATTTAAAAAAAAAAAGATATAATCAACAAAACCAAAAGCTCATTCTTTGAAAAGATCAACAAAGTCAGACAAACCTAACAAAACTAAATCTACACCACAAGTAGACTTAAGATTCTCAGGAAAAATGATTGATGGTGTTTTACTTCATTTTTCTTATTTTATGCAAAAAACTGCCCAATATTTTAAATTTTTAACATTAAAAAAAATCATCCACAACCACCAATATACAACTAAACACAACACACTGTCACAAGTAAAGACCATTCAAATGAAAAGAAAATATTAAGACTCAAATTACTAAAATCAAGAATAAAAAAAGGGGGAACATCATCACAAACCTTATGGAAATAAAAAGTATTCTAGAAGAATATTATGAACAATAATCTCCAACAAATCTAGATAAAATATGAGGATCTAGATGAAACAGGAATCCCTAGAAGCACACCAAGTAACTCCCCAAAATAACTGAAAAAACAATAGAAAATCTGAACAGGTCTACAACAAGCACTAGAGATTTTTGGCTAAGCTACTCCATGGTACTTGGCGAAGAGTCCTACAAAACACTCATTTCCCCTAGGGAAGCACAGGCCCTAGATAGCAGCAAATGTAAATTCCTGGTATAACTTCCCTAGAGCCCTTGGGATCGGCAATCTCCCCTACTTCCCATGGTAAGTCATATGTAGCATTTTGATATAATTCCCACACGTCTTACCAAAACTACCACACTCACACCCCCACTGCAGTGTGACCCCTCGAAGCATGTTCTATACTTTCCAGGAACTGTGAGTAATATTTCTCTATTTCAATTTCTCTTGTGGTCTACTGTTGAATCATGCTCACTATCCATCATCCTGTGGTCCATGAAACAAGTGTTAATTTAACAAAGTGATAACACAAATAAAGAGGTTGAGTCAGTAATGATAAAACACCCGGCAAAGAAAGGCCCCAAAATACCTGTATTGGCAAGGACTGTGGAAATTAGAACTCTTACACATTGCCGCTGGGAATGTAAAATGGCCACCACTATATGGAAAAATGTTTGGCAACTCTCCAAAATGCTAAACAGAATTACTCCATGATCAAGCAATTCCATTCCTAAATATAAACCCAAAAGAACTGAAAACAGGTACTCAAACAAATACGTGTACACACATGTTCGTAGCTGCACTATTCATAACACAAAAAGGTAGAGACAAAGTGAATCTCTACCAACGGATGAATGGATAAGCCAAATGTGAAATATCCATGTAATAAAATATTACTCAGCCATAAAAAGGAACAAAGCAGTGACCCATACTATGCCTACACCTCAAAAACACTATGCTAAGTGACAGAAGCCAGACACAAAATGTTACATATTGTAAGATTCCATTTACATTAAATTCTAAAAAGAGATTAATCCATGGAGACAAAAGCAGATTAGTGTCTGACAAGATTGGAGAAGATAAAATGGAGAGTACTAGTTCTCTTGTCAGATGATGAAAGTGATATGCAACTTGGCAGACACGGTGATTGTACAGCATTGTGAACACCCCCAATGCCACTGAACTGTATACTTTAAAATGGTTAATTTTACGTTGTGTAAATTTCATTTCAGTTAAAAAAAGGCAGATGGCTGTGAAATAATCCACGTATCCTGAGAACAAGTGAGGAGAAAGGGGGCAGAGACAGGAGACAGTCCTATAAATGGGTTACAAAATTCATATAATAAAAGATACTAAGAAACAGATTTAAGATGCTCAAGAGAAATGATTAATAATACTCCACTTGATCTTTCCTATTTCATTCAAAAAGTTGCCAAACATTTTTTTCTTTTAAAAAAGTTGTCCATACCCACTAACACACAATTAAAAGCAACATATTGTTAAAAGGGCAAGAGCATTCCAAAAAAAGCAGCAATCCATCCTCTCTGCCTGTATAAGAAAGCCATTTAACTCCTCCAGGCCTCGGTTTCTTTAATGATAAAATGAGATGAGACTATTACTAATAAAAATAATAATAATAATAATAAATGACAGGAATATACACACGTGTACCATTCATAGGTATTTACAGCATCCCAGACAGTTTTGTGTTTTCCATGTTAACCTTAATATTTAAAGGTTAATATGTTCAATGCTGACATACTTAATACTTACAAAACTCTGTGAAACATGTGCTATTATTATCCCCACTTTAAAGGTGAAGAAACTGAGACACAGAGAGGATTAAGCAGAAGAGCCATGCAGTCTGGCTCCACAGTTCATGTTCTTAATGACCATGCTATATTTGATGATCTCTAAGACCTTTTCCAGTTCTAAAATTCTGGGTCCAGGACATTTAAGGCAACTCTTAAGGACATTATTAAACCCTTTTGCTTCAGCCACCACTTAGCAATTAACATTCTTGAAATATGCTAAGAGC